AGAATTTTGCAAGACTTTATTTATTGCAAAGGCATGAACTTTAGCCAAATTACTACCCAAGGCAAGGATGCCTTCTTCAGATAGAATATGTTCAAAATTTGCCATTTATGAAAAAGTATGGGGTCATTCCATAGGAATGGGATCATCAAAAAACTTGGATTTGGAATCTCCTCATATCTGCCACTCAGCAGAGCTGGCATTGTGGGGAATTTTGATTTGAACATTTGAATACAAGCAGGCCAAGACTTCTAATTACAAGCTTCAAGGTATCATTATTAAATATAGCTATTCTAAATTAAATCAAAATTCTGTCTTTCATACAATTAATCAGGGATGGTGAAGAAGTCCATGACATTGACAGCAATATGAACAAATGCTATGGACATTCACCTATGAGGGAGCAACTTGGGAGATGCTCTTGGAACAGATTGCCAATTCCTTATCCCACTTGTCTTCAGAATCATACAATAGAGATGGAATCATACCATGAGTATGGAACCATACCATACCATGGGCATGGAATCATACCATGAGTATGAAAACATACCATACCATAGGCATAGAATCATACCATGGGGGTGGAATCATACCATACCATGGAAATGGAATCATACCATGAGCATGGAATCATACCATGAGCATGGAATCATACCATACCATGGGAATGGGATCATACCATACCATACAGAGATTTGCTTACAACACCCCATACCATGGTATTGCACCCCCATACCATACCATGGTATTGCACCCTTATACCATACCACTCCCATACCATACCATGTTGTTTGATGGTTGAGGTGCTGTTCTCAGGATCCAGTGTGAATTTCCAATTGGGAAAGTCATTACATAATACCACTTCAGTTTGTAGTCTCCGCTTTTTTAGACTACAAAAGTTTGTAGTGTGCGCTTTTTGGACTACAAAAGTTTGTAGTCTTCGCTTTTTTCATTACAAAGGCCTGTATAGTGCGCTTTTTTCATTATAAAAGTTTGTAGTGTCCGCTTTTTTCATTACAAAAGTTTGTGGTCTGCTTTTCTGATATCTTATTATCTATGTAGGTATATGGGGGTAGACCTGATATTTCAGGCAAACTGACTGCAGCCAAGCAGCCGGCAAATCATTTACACTTTGTACTCTCTAAGGAATTACATTCAAGACTAACTATTGGAATGGGCAGGTAGTGGCAGCTAGCTGATGATGAAATAGAAAGGGAGGACAGTCTACAATGAGATTGTCTTAAGAGAGGACATGTTAAGGTTGGCTATGGTCAGACATAGTTGAGTCCCCAGATATATGGAAAGAATGTTGAATATGATGAGAACATGACTGAAGCTGGTCAAAGGGAAAGTCAGAGCACTTTGTGCTCAGTTAAAACACAACCTGGGCATGAATTCTGACATCTCAGTGTAACCTCTTCTCACTTTGTATTTCATCATCATATAATTCCCTGGAGGGGACAAAGGCTGAATGATGGCTATTTGGTTAAAGTCAGTTGCTCTGAAACATTGAGCTATATCCCCATCTACCTAGATAGATACAAGGAGAATATCAGAAAAGCAGACTACAAGCCTCCAGCTGTTTGGCTGCAGTCAGTTTGCCTGAAACATCAGGTCTACCCCCATATACCTACATAGATAATAGGAGACTACAACATATCAGAAAAGCAGACCACAAACTTTTGTAATGAAAAAGCGGACACTACAAACTTTTATAATGAAAAAAGCGCACACTACAAGCCTTTGTAATGAAAAAAGCGAAGACTACAAACTTTGTCATTAACACAACCAGAAGACTACAAACCTTTGTAATGAAAAACACGCACACTACAAACTTTTGTAGTCTAAAAAAGCGCACACTAGTAATTTTGTAGTGAACACAAGCAGAACACTACAAACCTTTGTAATGAAAAAAGCGCACACTACAAACTTTTGTAGTCTAAAAAAGCGCACACTAGTAATTTTGTAGTGAACATAAGCAGAACACTACAAACATTTGTAATGAAAAAAGCGCACACTACAAACTTTTGTAGT